AGGAAAGGAAAGGAAAGGAAAGGAAAGGAAAGGAAAGGAAAGGAAAGACCTTTCTGTTTTTACTCTCCATATAATAACAAGTTGTCACATAGGATTTTATCACTGTACTCTGTCTAGGTTTGGACTAGGAACTCATGGGACCCTAAGGTCTAATAAAGTCACTATTACAGGCAAAGATGCCTTCAATGGATTATAAATCTCCTTCTATACTGAAATTTTTTTACATATATCCAAGGAAGAAAAGCTGAGCACTTCCTATGCCTCCCGTAAAAGCCTGTGAATCAGCAACATCTAGCCCCAGCTTTCAAACCAGAGGGGTTCTGTTTAGCCTCTGACCTTCATCTAAAAGCAAAATCCCCTTCAGTTGCCTGTGTGCAAAGGGGAATTCTCCACAAAGGACACACCTTCTCTAAAGTTGGGGTCACAGAGCGTTCCCCCAAACGAACCTTTCAGGACTCAAACAAATGCTGAAGTGAGTGTTTCTAAATCAAACCACAGGCTGCAGTCCACGCAACTCTCAGGGCAAGCCTCGCACACCAAGAAGAGAACGCACAGCAGAGGCACAACTCTCCTCTCCGCAGCTCAGGCAGAATCAGAGGCTCACAGCATGGTGCTACAGAGCCATATCCTTAGGAAAAGTCAAGCCAGCTTCACATTCCAAGAGTCCTATTTCAGACCTGGCTGTTCTAAAGGCAGTTAAAGAATACCCTCATTCTACTCAGCAATGGCTTCTTTATCAACCAGAGTGATTTTACTTACCTGCAATATAAAGGGAGGCGATCCAAGAGCTGCCCCCTGATCCTTGAACTCAAGAAGCTCATAATAGTCTAAGGCCAAGACTGAAAATTCCACTCAAAAGTATCCGCAGCCCTGGAGGCTCAGCACACACAAGACTACCATCAGAAGAAACTAACCAGAAAAATAAGGCTATTTCAAAAGAAGGGGAAGTGTCATCTCTACTTCCTCAATTCTATTTGTCTTCCTTCTCGTTCTTGTTGAACCCTCCTGGATACAGCACATCAAAGCGGACTCGTCTTATCTTCCTGACTTCATTTATCAAGGCAGACCACCCAGTGTACTCCTTTCCGGGACGAAGGGATGAAAATCTCCCTGGTTTTACCTTCCTGCTTGGTAGGCAATTCGTGAGTATGAGGATGGCAGTTCGGGCAGAGATTCTCTTGCCATGCTGGGTTAAGGACTGGAGAGATGACTCAGCAGCTAAGAGCAAATGTTGCTCTTCCAGTGGACTGCAGTTCATTTTCCAGAACCCACACCAGGTGACTTACAACCACCTGGAACTCCACCTTCAGGTGGATCTGACAGCATGTCGGGTTCAGACATCACATTTTATCGTCTTTAGATTCAATCATTTCTTTATTTCCATCACTTCTCTTCCAACTGCTTGGGATCCACTAAAGAGAAAATACAGTAAGTCTGGGGCTGGGAAGATGGCCCTGTCAGTGAAGTACCAGCCATGCAAGCATGAGGACCAGAACTTTGTTCTGCAGCATGCATATAAAAACAAAGCACAACACCGCAAAAGCATGTCTGTCATCCACGCACTGTGTGGAGACACATGGGGACAAACAGATCCTCTGACTGCACTGCATAATCAGTCTAACTATTGGTAAGTTCCAGGTTCAGGAAGAGACCCTGTCTCAAAAGTAATAACAAAGTGAAGAGTGGTAGAGGAAGACAACCATTGCTACCCTCTGGTTTCTGTACTCCCCCCACCCACATACACACACACACACACATGCATACAAAGTTTCTAGTAGGCTCCACTTCATAAGGACCCACCACTTCTCAGAACTGTTACACTGGGACCAAGCCTCTAGCATGTGAACCTTTGAATGATCCACAAACCATGTCCAACCCAGCATTTATCCTTCACCGCTTAATGGCTTCAACTAACAAACATCAAATATCTTGTGGTTTCTATGGACTCGGAACTTTTGAGGACTCAGAGGCCAGTTTTGCCAGGTTCTTTGGCTAAAGATGTTCGTGCTAGGTGATACCAAGAGGAGCAGCCATCCCAAGTCTTAATGGAGAAAGTAACTTTTTCCAAGATCACTCATGTGGCTGTTGGTAGAATTCAGTTTTTCATGAGCTATAGGGCTGGAGGCTTCAATTCGATGACTATTGTCTTCAAGTCAACTTCCGTTCCTTCTCACATGGCCCTCTCCTTAGGACAGGCTGCAATATGGCAGCTGGCTACAACAGAATGATCGAAGGAGAATGAGCGTGGGACAACAGAGTGGGGTGGAACAGAGGTCACTGCTGTAATGTCATCCCAACCACTACATTTCCTATACTGCATGGATTACAAATGAGCCACCTGGTCTAGCCTGCTTCCCTAGGGAGCCAGGCGGGGGGGGGGGGGGGGTTACAAACTGTAAATTCCAGGAGGAAACAATTCAAAGGATCTATCCTGGAAGGCTTCCTGCCGTGATGCATGAATCTTTAATCAAACTCAAGCTGCACTTACCAAGCCAAATATCAGTCCATAGGAAGAATCGGCCAGTTGGAAAATCATAAACACACCCACACTGGGAAGAAAATCAGAGCCTTTCCTAGGCATCACGGAGCACACACAGCAAGCCTTCGCTGCCAGATCATGAACCTGAAAACCTGGCAATCCTCACAAATTCATCTCTAAGAAGGAGGTTGGCACACAGCCTGGAAGGAGGCTTCAAGGTTTGCAGTTTCAGCGAAGAGAATAACTTCTTTACCTAATCACAGCATATATGAGAGGCAAGCAGGGTATTAAGTTACATACCACCCATGCTGCTTCCTCCATGTGTCCTCGGGTCTCTCTTCTTCCCAGAGTCCTCTCTGTCCCCAGAAATCCTGCCTACCTCTTTCTGCCTAGCTATTGGCCATTAAACTCTTTATTAAACCAATCACAGCAAAATATCTTTACACAGTGTACAAATATCCCACAACAGTAATCTATAAGCCAATATACTCCATACATAATGATCAAAATGTCAATAAATATTGTGGTAAAAATAATGCTTTGGAGAAACAGGGAAAAAACACATTTTTATAAAGTTATTGGTAAAAACCTTGAAGAGTCAATGATAACTTGAAAAACTACTTTGGTCGATTGGCTCCATAAGAACTCCGCATGGGTTGAATATGTCACTCAAATCCATACATGGAAACCTAATCTCACTGTAATGATATTTGGAGGTGGACCTGTGAGAAGAGATTAAATCATGAGGCGGAGCCCATGTGAAGGAGATTAGTGTTCTTATAGAGGAGGCCCAGAGAGCTGCCTTCCCCTTGACCATGAGAGGGCCCAGCAAGAAGATAACCATATGTGAACTAGGCAACAGGCCTTCAACAGGCTCCAGGACAGCCAGTTGATCTTGAACTTCCGGGTCTCCAAAACTGTGAGAAACAAATATTGGTTATTTATAATCCACTAGCCTGGGATGTTTTGTTACAGCAGAAAAAAAAAGACCAAGATAGAGCTAAAATGCAAATGGGTAGTAAAGAAGAAAAGATGATACTAAATGTGGTGGTTTAACTGAGAATGACCCCCATGGGGTCATATGTTTGAATGTTTGGTCCCCAGTTAGTGGAACTGTTTCGGAAGGATTAAGAGGTGTGGCATTGTTGGAGGAGGGGTGTCACCGGGGAGTGAGCTTTGAGGTTTCCAAAGCTCACACCAGGCTCAGTCTCTGTCTCTCTTTCTCTGCCTGCTGCTAGCAGATCAGGATATAAAATTCTTAGCTACTGCTCCCGGGCCATCCCTATTTGCTCTCCACCATGATGCTTGTGAACTAAACCTCTAAAACTGTAAGCAAGGCATAAGTGAATGTTTTAAGAGTCACCTTGGTCATGGCATCTCCTCACAGCAATAGAACAACAAACAACGTCACTGAACAGCCAGAAACAAAACTGAGATTATGCATTCTATTTGAATGTACATTTCTATTTCTAGGAGGCACTATCTCAGCTCCTCCCTGTGTGAGGTTGTCCTCCAGCTCCCTGCTTTACATAGTATAAAAAAAGCAGGAGTTAACTTCACAGCGTGTCTTAGACACCATCTCAAAGCCATCCTCAAAGGCTTCATCATCATGTGATATTTCCATTGAATTCTGACAAATAAAGCTTGCTTGGAGTCAGAGGGTGCAGCTAGCCACGAGTTAACCATAGAGGTTTGGAGGACTGAAGACAGAGAAACAGAAAGTGATAAGGCAAGTTGGAGAGAGAATTTTGGCAACAGACAGAGTCAGGAAGCAACTGGCAGCTCTCTGATCTTTCAGGTTTTTATCTCGATATCTGACTCCTGGCTTTTATTGATTAAGATTAATTATATTAATGCATTGCTTCATTATTTATAGTTATGTACCCAGTGCCATAAATTCTGGTAGCATACCACCTTATTTGTAGAATTAGAATTACCTCACAGAGGCTGGACTTCAGTGTGTAACTACAGCTTCATTTTGCTCCCTCGCTTCTACAATGGCTTCATATAAAAGAGAGGAAACATATTAAAAGCTAAAAATTCTCCAATAACAAACACGGTTCTTCAGAGGAAAGGCATCCGAGCCTGAGAGATATCAACAGATCTAAGATATAAAGGCTAGTGGGTTACAGAGAAAGATGACTACAGGATGGATACCACAACATTCCAAGAGCAGGGAGACAGTGTGGTGAGGAATGGCATGCCTGTGGTGCTCTCAAAGAGAGAAAAGCAGTCTCGCCACAGAAGCAAGGGGTTGAAGGTATGGGGTTCTCCTGAGCCTCTTCTAAGACAAGTAGATAAGACCTTCAAAGCCCCAAGGGAATATAGATTTTCCCTTAGAATTTTGTATCCTTTCATTCAGCAAATCTTTTTGAGTTCCATCCTAGACCTGAAAATACAGCAGAGAACTTCTCTTCTTATGCACAGATTGAGCTGAATTTCTAGGACCGGGAACACAAATGAATGTGTGTGGTAGAAATCATTGTCAAGCAGAAAAAAATTTAAAAGAATACAAAATAGGAAATACATGGAGTCTAGAGAGATGGATAGCCTAGAGGATACCAAGATGACAACTGAACAGTGGCCTAAAGGAAGTGAAGGCCACCACAAGCCCTGTGAACGGCTGAGCGGAGAGTAGTGGGCAGTCAGAGAGAGACAGAGATGCAAACATCCTATCGCCTCCAGAGCCTTTCTGGGGCCAGGAGAACAAGGGGAATGTGAAATAGCAAGACAGAAGACAGGAGCAGAACGGCAGGAGAGTAGCGGGAGAGACAGGATGTGGGGGAGAGGTGGGTATCCACAGTGATGGCTCAGCTCTCTGAGGTCACACTGAGAACTGGGCTATTTGTCTTTCACTCTGACCAACTAAATCAAGAACTGACTTTTTCCATGATAAATCAAATAATAAATACTGTATGGGTCAGACAGTATCTGCCAATTGTTAAGCTCTGCTATTGGAGTATAAAAGTAACCACAGGCAACATATTACAAGTGAAGAAGGCAGTGTTCTGATCAAGCTTTGTTTTATATCACTGGGTTTTGAATGACATATAATCCTCAGGTGTCACAAAAATGTTCTTCTTCATCTTCGTATGTTTCGAAGTGCAGAAAATAAGTGAATGTGGAACACTAGGCCCCAAATAGGACAACTGTGTCATACACACACAGAAGATGGGGCGGAAAGGTTGTAAAAGTCAGAGATTGAAGGGGAGTACTAAGAAGCAATGATCGTAAAGCATCACAAGGCTATCACAACGTGATCTCACAGCAGTTTTAACTATAAGCACAAGATCAGCACATGATCAAGCCAGTCAAAATCCTAGCATGGATGTGGGAGGGGCTCAGAAAACCCCACCCCTTGCTGAAAAGCTTTTAGAAGTTGAGTCCATTTTAATCAGGGATAGACCCTGTAGGTTTCCTATGCTCCAATAGATGGCCCTGCATCCATGCACAGGCTGGCAGCACTAATTGGACTTCCCCTGTATGTTTAAGAAAAAGAAAAAACAAGCTCCAATGTGAAGTTGGAAGAGAGACTGGGGGATGCTTAGGAGGAGCTGTGGGAGAGTAGCTCCCACAGTAGGATAGCAATGATTGGATACACTGCATTCAGACATGACGTTCTCAGAGGATAAGCAAAATTCTATCTACTTCTAAAATGTTAAAACTCTGTCATCACTTGCAAACAGCAAACCTCTCTTGGACCCTAGGCATAGTTACCAACCCCTGAACTGAACCATAAACCAAGCAGGAAAAGGGACCAGGACTATTCTGAGACAGGTGAGAGGTGGCTCAGAAAGATGACCTCCTACATGCTCCTTCTTAGGAAGTCACTTCACGACTTAAAATCTACCAAAACAAAGGAGT